GTTGTTTATAAGGCACAGGTACAGTCATGGATTTAGAATAAAGTATGTATATATGCACAGGTACAGTCGTGGATGTTGTTTATAAGGCACAGGTACAGTCTTGGATATAGAGTAAGATGTGTATACTGCACAGGTACAGTCAGGGATGTTGTTATAAGGCACAAGTACAGACATGGATGTAGAATAAAGTGTGTGTACTGGACAGGTACAGTCAGGGATGTTGTTTATGAGGCACAGGTACAGTCATGGATGTAGAATAAAATATGTATATATGCACAGGTACAGTCAGGGATGTTGTTTATAAGGCACAGGTACAGTCATGGATGTAGAATAAAGTGTGTGTACTGGACAGGTACAGTCGTGGATGTTGTCAATCAGGCACCGGTACAGTCATGGTGTAAAATTCTAGAGTTGTCAGGACAGGTACAGTTGTGGATGTTGTTTATAAGGCACAGGTACAGTCATGGATGTAGAGTAAGATGTGTATACTGCACAGGTACAGTCAAGGATGTTGTTTATAAGGCACAGGTACAGTCATGGATGTAGAATAAAGTGTGTGTACTGGACAGGTACAGTCGTGGATGTTGTTTATAAGGCACAGGTACAGTCATGGATGTAGAGTTAGATGTGTGTACTGGACAGATACAGTCGTGAATGTTGTTTATAAGGCACAGGTACAGTCATGGATGTAGAATAAAGTATGTATATGTGCACAGGTACAGTCGTGGATGTTGTTTATAAGGCACAGGTACAGTCATGGATGTAGAATAAAGTGTGTGTACTGGACAGGTACAGTCGTGGATGTTGTCAATCAGGCACCGGTACAGTCATGGTGTAAAATTCTAGAGTTGTCAGGACAGGTACAGTTGTGGATGTTGTTTATAAGGCACAGGTACAGTCATGGATGTAGAGTAAGATGTGTATACTGCACAGGTACAGTCGTGGATGTTGTTTATAAGGCACAGGTACAGTCACGGATGTAGAATAAAGTGTGTGTACTGGACAGGTACAGTCGTGGATGTTGTCAATCAGGCACCGGTACAATCATGGTGTAAAATTTCTAGAGTTGTCAGGACAGGCACAGTTGTGGATGTTGCATCCCAAGAAATGCGATTTTCTTTGAGCTGAACTCAATATAGGTGCTATTAACGCTATTCACCGATATTCCCTATAGATTGACTCCAGACAAATTATTGCAGAATCTTAAAGAGGTGGATCTAATAAAAATATTTACTTATAAAATATTTTCTTCGGATGTTATAGATAATTATATCATTAATTCCCTTTAATATGATCAATTATTTTAATGCCCTGCATATTTCAGGTATCACACCACAGTTATCGACCAGTCAAGATGTTTTAAATTGTTCCATGCATATATAATTAATTTTTATTTTCTTTTGAGAATTTGTTTTGTTTTTTTTTTTTTTTTTTTGGGGGGGGGGGGTTCTTCCAGCCTATTTTTACAACTTTGACACCTGTGCCTAGTAAATTTTATGTACTTTGTAAATAAATAAAGGGGTTTTTTTTTTTGTCAGGAACTACTCTTTTTCAGGGCATAGGAGGCTACGTCCTGGGGTGCTCTTGATATGTTTATATATAACACATTGAAAACGCGTGGAGCAGCCCATTCCACCCGTATACATGTATATCGTAAGACATATATTTATGGGAAAAACCTGTGTTTTTCATTGACACCACTTGCGTGATCAATGAAATGGGTGAAATTAATAATATTGTGAAGTACTTATACTTTCTAACATAAAATTAAGGATTACAAATTAATTCCAATATTTATTTTAATTTCTTTTTTATTTTACTTTGTTTATTGTTTACTCGTATATTTTCAATAATTATACTAGCATGTTTCATTAAATTCACCATTGTTATTGAGCACGTAGGAAATTGAAATCATGCCCCCAGTCCCCCCCCCCCCCCCCTAAAAAAATAAAGATCTGGCTCATATTGTTCTCCGAACATAAAGTTTTAAAGCTTTAATTTTAAATCTGTAAAAGTTTTGGACCCTTCCCTAAGCACTGCTGACATCGTTTGTCTCGGTATCACTGTCATGGGTAATACATGTATAAAGATAAGCGTTAATTGCGCTTTGATTGAATTCAGTCTAAATCTAAATCGGAGAAAATCCACAGAATTTCGTGTCGTGGATGCTATTAATCAAGCGCGGGTTGAGTCAGTGGTAGTGTGTATGTACGGCACAGGTACAGTCGCAGATGTTGTATATTAGGCACAGGTATACAAAATGTACGCTGTAGTAAATGTTACTTTTTAGAGATTATAGCGATCCATACAATGGATTTAGGCATAGTCAAGTTTACATAATTATATTTTCCTCGATATATGCACTAAGCCAGTTATCGTTACCTTTTGGCGATTATAGCCTTCCATAAAGTAGATTTATTTGAAATCAGAAATTTTCTTTCCTCCATAATAACACATTTCGTATTTTTCATTAAAAAAAACAATCCATACTTAATTAACAACATATAGTTTAATACGTTGAACAATCCGGAAAATCTTGCTCTGACATTCCGTTTTTTGATATTAGTGAGCAGGTACAGTCATGGATGTCCGGTACCAGCATTGCCGAGTACAGTTGCGGATGTTAGCTGACAGACCCCACTCGATCCAGGGTATCAGCACGTGGTTCATCTCTTGCGATCTGAATATCTTGATGACAAGATTATCTCTGACTTTATTAAATCGATGAATCAATTTTGATGAACAAACGTACTAAAATTTCTAATCATTTATTCTTATTTTATTTTATCTTTTATTTATTAATATTTATTTATTTAGTTTTTGCGTTGAAGACAGTCTGAAATAAAAAAAACTATCCCACTTTCAGGTTCGAATATCTTGTACTTTCCCTGGATGCTTAATTGTGAAGTACTTTTTGAAATGCACAATTTTATTTGCGGCCGATTTGATGTTTTGCATCAATTTTACTCGTTTTTTTCTGAGGTATACTGATATCTTATACTCCATTCCGGTACCTTATATGCCGAATTGACACTGTTTAGACATCGCAGCAACCCCAAAGCTCTGCTCGGCGGTGGTTACACGGTGGCAGGACGTTTTCTATACGGAGTCAGTGCAGTGAAGCGAATCCGTGGCGAAAAGAAAGACGGTATCTGGCAATTTGATGTCGGTCTCAGTAGGGTGACGCTCCCACGCATGCGTTTTTATTACGAAACTCTCCGTGAGATAGAGGTGGTAACGGTCTCACGATGTCATCACTTTTACATTATTATTATTATTTTAAAAATATATCTTTCGGAGCACCCGTATAGTACACGAAAGTTAACTACAATAAGATTAAGTATAGTAAATCAAAGTATCAGAGTTTTTCCTTTAAAAAAATTGAATTAAAATATCAAAGTATTTACGATATGGAATCAAAAGTATTTTTACCATGAAATTCATTTTTTTTTTTTCATTTTGTTCTCTGTTATATCAAGAGGGAAAAATGTTTATACGTATTCAAATAACCATCATAGATGTGAAAATTGAGATATCTTGATGCTCTGATCTAAATTTTAAAAAAAAAAGTTCTCGGGGAAAAATTTTAAGTAATTAAAATCAAAATTCCGTATTAAAGTTTTAAAGTACATGTATGTGCTATAGTCAACTTTATTATACCTCAGTATTTTTTTTCTTTACAAAGATATAACGAATAAACCTGCTATTTATTTGCTAACAGTCTTTATCGTTGAATAGTATTTTCCTATGGTGAAATATTCATCGAACTATTCACCGGCAATATTCTATTTCCCTCGTGTTTCATCTCGGAACTCTTCTGGTTTTATCCGGATCGTGATGAGACACAAGTAAAATCTACTTTGATATAATAAAACACCTATTAATTTTACTGTTATGAGGACAATAGCAAGTTTATTTCCCCCCTCGACAGCAACTACTGCGCCTCGGGATATAGTTGCTGTCTTGTGGGACAATAAACTTGCTATTGTCCTAATAGTAAGTAAATTTGGTGTATACATAATAGTCAACTGTAGTAAAATAATAGTTGCATTAACTATGAAATGGTAAATGAACTATTGTATATAGAATTAAAACATTTCAGAATTAAACAAAGGGACTATTCATACTGGGGCGATTTTTTTTTTCGTTGTTGCTTGTTTGTTTTATTCTTTGGTTTTATTGTTGTTCTTTTTTTGGAGGGAGGGGGATAATAAATATTAATACGTCGAATCTGGTTTAAACTGAATAAAAATTGATAAATATACGGATATGATCAAATAGAAAGAAAGGGAAAAACGTCTTTTCCTTTCTTTATTACTTCAATTATCTTTAAATCATTTTCATGCTGTTTTTCCTTATTTCTTTTCTAAGTTTTTCTTTTATTCTTTTAATTCATCGAAGTTCTCTGCGGTGGGTCAGCCTTCCTCTAATCGCAATCCAGAACCGGGATAAAAACGTTCGTTTTCACTGTATTGCTTCCAACAGCACCGGAATATTTTCTGTCAACATACCGCAAGATTTGTTGTGATACCGCTCAACAATCCGTCCAGACGTGGCAGAAACGCCATTCTCCGTACCCGCTCCATAAACAACGTTTCTACTCCTTTGCAATCTGAACAATGTTTCCGCGGAGCCAATCCGTGTCATACCGCAACAATCCGCAATATCCGTACTCACAACGTACTCACGTAATGAAATGTAAACATTTACATTTACATTTAGACGGCACATTTCGACACACATTTCAAACCGTACAAAGGAACTGAACTTAAGGTCAATGAAATAAGATTTTTTTTCAGAACAACTTACACTCATATGATTATGTAGTACCAAAAACTTTACCTGTCACTTACATGGCTTTATTGCCGAGGTTTTTATATTGTCCTTGAAGGGTGAAAGAATTTAATGGGTTAAGAAAGCAGCTACTTTAAATACCACCAAATCTACATCTATATAATAAAATAAGGTAACCCAGCAAGTCACAAGGGGGTATCACTTACTTTGTGAAAGCTGCTCTGCTTGTCCGCACGGGACCCACTTGCCATTCTGAAATTTCCAGTGATGCGGATCGGCCAGAATCATGTCAACAAAAACATTATACTGTTTGTGAGGGTCCAGACCATTCAGGCTGAACTGTAGCGTTGGAAACATCCTCCTAATAAATATTCAAATTATATTTTATTTGCTCAGTGAAATTATATCGATCCTATTGACTAAGTAACCATTCAAATGGAATTGAACCGAAACTAAGTATGTACTTATAGCAGGCTCATTTTTTTTTTGGAGGAGGGGGGTGTGTCATATAATGATAAAAATATAAACGTTTCAATAATATGAATGATAATAATAACAACATTTAGATGCGTCAGATGTACATATGATATATAAATATTATTTATATTCAGAGTTGGTATTAACTTCTCATAAACAACTTAAAAGCGATGCCAATGCAATGCAAACGTGACTCTAGAGTGATAAACCGTTTACGAAAATAGATTTCTGAATTTCTATTAATAGCAGTAGTAAAAACGGTAAAACTAAGTGTTAAATGATGAATTTCTGAATCGAGACTTTCTATAGACCACGTGATGCGTGCATACAAATTTACATATATGATACAAATATAGTCTTTTGATGAGGTCAATCCCTAGATATAGACCTTAGAGAATGCATATCGACCGAGCACGAAGTGCGAGGTCGATATGCTTTCTCTAGAGATTGTACCGAATCAAAAGACTACAATTGTTTTATTATTTTTTTATGGTTAATAAGAAATGTCTTAAATCTATGTTTCTAATACTGAATACTTTCTCATATAAGGCATTGTTATGTCATTCGCATTATGAGGTCACAGTTGCGAACAGCAGCTGCAGTATATGTTTTTCGAAACATCCAGTTTATAAAGACTATTGTGACGTCAGCACTATTGCTGCTTCACCGAAGAACGTTTCCAGTTTTAGAAACAGCAAGGTTTATAATTTTTTTATAGGCTTAAAATAGAAACACCCAGTTTATAAGACTTTTTACACTTGATCAAGTGATCTAGTTTGAGCCAATCAGATAGATGGCAACAATAGAGAAAAATAATAATGCGCGTTTTTCAGTCTGTCTATACAAGGCGTGTTTGTGACACCATGCAATCCCCCCCTTCCCACTACCACCACCAACACCAAATGTAATGCTTCAATAAATGTAATTCTATTATCACCCCTAAAAATATTACATGTATTATAAAATAATAATTTTTAGAAAAATAATGTTGCTCTTTTATCAAGGAGTGAGAAATATAGACATTTGTATTTTTTTTCTTAATTCAATATTTCTTATTTGAATTAATAGAAAATTTTTAGAAAATACTTTTTTTGCTCTGCTCTATTTATATTAAGCATTTATTAGTCCTTTTATTTACCTATATATATATATATATATATATATATATATTTTATTTATATGCACATTTATTTACTCATTCATTTATTTATTTGACAGCGGAACTTACATTATGAGATTAGAGTTTATTCTGAGATGCAGACCCAAATATTAGCGATTCGCAGTAAAAATTGAGCGAATAAAATATAGTTTTTATTTAAGTATCTTTTACTTTACAATAAATATGCAGGTGCCATATAATTTTATATTTACTTTTTCATATTAAAAAAAAAAAACAAAACAAAAACAAATAATGATAAATGAGCAAAGCTTTTACATTTGCTCTAAATAAACACGCATCAAAATTAGTCTAAAAAGTAGCTAATCGTAAATATTTATTAATTAATTTCTAAAAGAAAATATATATATTAAAATTTGTCAATATTCTATTTACGTGAACCAGTCGCCGGTATCGTCTGCTGTCTTGGTGTGTGTATATAGTATATATATATATATATATATATATATATATATATATATATATATATATATATATATATATATATATATATATATATATATATATATATATATCAGGGATGGGGTAATTGAAAAAAGTAATTGTAATTGACTGTAATTAATTACATTTTTTGAAGTAATTGGAAGTAATTTGTAATTGAACATTTTTTCAATTACTTGTAATTGTAATTTAATTATTACACTGAAAAAACACCATGTAATTTCAATTACTTTTTCAATTACATTCAATTACTTTATATAATACACATTCATGATATACTGTCACTACTACCTCCCCATTTTACTGGGTTTTTATTTTATTGTAAAACATATCCTCAATCCTTCATATAAAAAACAAAATCTTAAGTTAATGTTTACAAACAAATAATTAAATGATTGGCTTGATAATAATAATCTGGTTTCTTTCTAATCATTATGTAAATTTTGATTTATTTGATTTATGTTCATAAATCTGAATTTTGAACCACCCTTCTTAGGTCTATTCAGCTATAAAACACACATTTATTATATTTCAATCTTTGTTGTTTGATCAGTGATAAAGAAAAAGAAGGTGTGTGTCATTAATTAAGTTCTCTCTTGTTGGGAAGAGATAATTACCCTCCAAATCACAGCTGTAAATTGCAATCAAAACAAATCAACTCCCCTAAAGAGATATTCATTTCATGATTTAGAAGACAAAGCCAATGGAGATAATTATTTCAATTCAAAATGCTCCGCTAGCTTTAGAAAAGGTAAACTTTCAATTTGATAATTATTTTAACATCTAAACAGATTTTTATGAATGAATTTTTATCTGTACAAGTATTATTTATGAAGTAAACTTATTCAACATAAATAGCAATTTAGGATGTTCAGGTTACCTTCAAAGGAAATATTTAATTTGAGGGGTTATGTTGCGACTCATTTTACTGTATTAAAATACCCACTTTTAATCAAATATCATAATCCATGCAATTTGTGTACATGTAGGTTTTGTGTGGTGGAAACTGCATCAATCTGATCTCGAATAATTCTTTAAGAGATTCTTTAATGTTTTGTAAATAAATATAATTAATAAATTAAACCACAATGATACACAGTGCCTATAGCATATTATTCTTGTACTCTTTGTGCAGAGGCTGAGCTTGTATACAAATAAATGATGTTCTGTATATTCATTGACAAGGATTATAAAAATTTTCAAAAAAAATAAAAATGTAATTTGTAATTTAATTAATTACTTTTGCAAAGTAATTGTAATTTAATTAATTACACATCTTAGAAAGCCTGTAATTTAATTGTAATTTAATTGAAGAAAAAGTCAAAGTAATTGTAATTTAATTATTTAATTAATTACTTTTTAAAGTAATTGACCCCATCCCTGATATATATATATATATATATATATATATATATATATATATATATATATATATATATATATATATATATATATATATATATATATATATATATATATATATATATATATCTTTGGAAATTCCTAAATTCTGAATATTAATCAATTATGAATATTGTTTTTTTTAAATTATTATATACCTGTTTGAACTGCCTTTCTTAATAAATAATTCATGTGCAGTTGAAATCACAAGTACATTCTTTGTTTTCATTTCATTGATGGTTAGACATAAAAGTTTTAAACAGTGGTATGTGTAATTGATCTGGCGAATTTCTGAGAATTTTAAATTTCTCTTGTCTATACAAAACGTCTGTCTCACAGTGTGAAAAAAGACACATCCACTTAAGAGATGAACACACTGTTAGACAACCATTTCATTGAAGGGATTCCTATCACATATATTTGTATATGCATCATTGGGCGATACTTTGACACACACTTAAGACTGAAATGTTACGATGCAATCACTACAGATATATTTTTGAATTTAAAAAAAAAAAAAAAATCAATATACTCAATTTTAACTAAAAGAAAATCTTATATTCATTAGCACATCTTAAAGTTTTTATGTGTAATTATTTTTTGTTTAATCGGTAGCCATATTATATATATATATATATATATATATATATATATATATATATATATATATATATATATATATATATATATATATATATATATATATATATATATATATATATATATATTACAGTTTTAAATGTAGTTTTAACTTTATTTCATTTATATACGCAATGAATAATGTAAACAGGATTCGGAAATAAGATATTCCAAATTAAATTAGAAATAATAAATCAACAAATATTCGATGAGTTATAAAATAATGCAAATACAGATATAAACATTCTAGGGAGGATGTCAGGGGATATACGTTCATAACTTTCAAATAGAATAATACAGCCATTGTACAATTATTCCAAAAAAGGAGTCTGATAAGTTTCAAATCTTTTGAATGTTGATAACAGTGATACTACATGTTTAAAAATATTGGTATTAAAGGAAAAAATCCCGAATCATATAGTGTGCTTCAGCAAAGTTTTTAGTTGTTTGTGTAATCTGCAGTACTTCTGTACACCATAGTTTGGAATTTGATAATAGTGTGTGTGTGTGTGTTTCTTCTTCTTTTGTGCAAAGTATCCAACTCAAACAATCAATATCAAAACAATTGTCGCACCTATGACTTCGCGAGCTGTCTCTATAATTTTCCCCCCGAATTTATCAGATAGACCGTTTGTTATATTTTTACAATGTCTGCATATTCAATAATTGGTCTAACAAATGAAAAATATAAATTTTCTAAAGATTCTCTATCCAAGAAAAATCTCAGTCGGGCTAGAATGTGTAGCATATTATGACGCTTTCGCTAGAATGATATTAACATGATATGATCATCAACAGTTAATAGAGAAATGGAATCGAAGTTATCAAGTTTGAACAGCAATGTATGCAGCAATGTATGCTTTAGTCCAGGTAAGAAAACGTAATTATTTGGAACTATTTATTTCTTGATCTGTGTGAAAACATTAGGCATAATGTTTATATGACATTTAGCTACTATAGATTTGTTTACAAAAGATTCCAAAATGTTTGATCTATTCAGTAACAGCGTTGTTGTGTTGTTTTTATAGATTATAAGATACGAGTTTTTTCTGCATTTATCTCCTTTCTTTTCTCCTGTATCGCTTTTAGATTTTTTGTTCATTTTTTCAAAGTTTCCTAGGGAGATATCCAATTTCTTTAAAATTGTTAGCGGTATGAAAGTTATATATATATATATATATATATATATATATATATATATATATATATATATATATATATATATATATATATATATATACGAGAATAGTACAACAGAATTCGGAATCACAATAATAGAAATAATAATAATGAAGATGTACAAGAAACTAAAACAATATTATTTCTCAAACACATGTATTTATATCAATTTGAAGAACATTTTCAAATTAAAAAAAAAAGAAAGAAAGAAATTCGAATGATAAATTTAGATGTAAACAAAAGATCAAAATTTTAATATATCGTCATAAATTATTAGATACTTTTCAAAAAACGCTAGCTTGTACGAGATTGGCCGCTCCTCTTACATGTATACAAACCGATATACGCATCCCGACGCACCTATACTTTTGTTTTGAACATATTTTATTGAGTAAATCAAAAGGATTGGAAACAAGTTTTTATAACTAACTACTAGTTCCTCTCTTCACATATATATATAATTGTTTCCAATCAATAATGCAATGTAACACCTTTCTTTTAAGAAGATTATCATTCGCGCCTTTCAATTAATTCATTCATTCAACGTAAATAAGCTGAATATTCACGATTTTTATCAGACAAGGTTTTATATGATCTACATACTAGAATATGGAATACTATCTTTTGTATATGGAATACTATCTTTTATATATGGAATACTATCTTGCTTTCATTTCCCCCATCACTTTCTGACTTTAATAATTTATCCACCCAGCTCTCCAAAAATTATGAATATTAGTGTGCGCAATCACAAGTTAAGGTCCTAAGTTTTAAGGTGTTTGTGTGGTTTTTTTTTCTTCAATAGAAAATAGATGTTGTGTCGGTATTCTAAAAAACATCTCGATCATGAATTTTTTGTAAAATTTAATTTTGCAAAAGTGCTCAAAATACATGCATCTAAAACCTGCTATTTGGTAAGATTTAGTTCTTAGAAATTCCTATTTTAGAAGTCAATTTGATTCATGTTCTTTATATAGTTTCTTCATGAAAAAAATGCATATCTGCTGAAAATTTTAGTTAATTCACCATTTTTCTCCAAAGACGATATGTATATATTCATCATTAATATCCCAATTATATTAACTAGGTAGTCAGCTGAACTAAAGCATCACAGCTAACCACTGGAATCTTTTGAGCTTACTTGACTGTGGGAATTCATTGTTAAAATTTTCATTAAAAAGGGGATAAGAGTCCAATTCTTTAAATATTGGTCATGATTAATAATCAAAAGTTCATTTCTTGTTATCTGAAAAATTTTTCGTTTTGTTTTGTTTTTAATTTAAAAAAAAAACACTTATATTATAGTCAAAAAAGAATCCATTTTGAAAAAGAAAAGTTTGGCAAGTTTATCTCTAATTTATGTTAAATAGCTGAATTCAAGAGATTGTGACCAGACCTGCTAAAATATAAACAAGATACCCTCTCACCATTGCGTATCATCTCGAAAAATAGCAAAAAGGAAACAATATCAACACCCCCCCCCAAAAAAAAAGGCAAAAATAAAATTTGCTCTAAACATATATAACCATTGATTAATTCATCAATAAATTAAATTATAAATGAATTTATTCCTTCATTTATTTTTTATTGTGTTTATTTATTCATTATCTTTTATTATTTTATCATTTGATTCATTTATCAATTTATTTGCTTTTATTATAGGAGAGTAACGTGAACATGCAGATGGAGACAAAATAGTGCGAGTGCAATAATCTATTATTTTTTTTTTTTTTACAAAACCGTCATACCTTCCTTGTTTGGTGATGATCATTTCGGTTGTATGCTGATGGAATTTGATCCACAACTCTCTGTTACATAAATAGATGCATGGATTAAAAGAATTCGAAGGGATGGATGCGGTAGATTGCATGGGAGCCACGACTGCCTCCGAGTTGGAAGGAGGCATATGGAGTGGGGAGGATGTGGGTTGGTGTTGGGAGGGCTGAGTATACATGGGGTTGCTGTAATAATGCATGGGGTCCACTTCGTAGCCATAACTGTCGTTTTGACTGTACGGAAGCGAATACGGAGTGTCGCTCATGCGAGTCTGAGATACCACTGGCTGCAGGCAGGCATAACTGGCCCCAGGCCCCTCCCGAGGAGGAGTATAGCCCGTAGATACGGGATTTATAGAATCGGGTTCATCAAAATTTTTATCCCGGCTTTGATTGTCCAAAGGATGCTGTCCATACTGAGTGATAGGTGATGTTGATTCCTGGACGGTGTCCTGGGGAAGATAATCCTGGCAATAGTAAGGCTTCAGGGTGGATAGGATCGGAAACTGCGACTCCGATGTGTGGCAGGATTCGCTCTGTGCGTCATATATGTCCCCTTGTTGGTCACTGTATCTGTTAAAATTCACAGTATTTGCCATCCTTTTATCACGCCGATTTATCTGTTCTCAGTTTCTACCCTTCTTTCGCGCTAAATAATACCGCGCGGTTAGAAATTATCTATTTGCACCGTTTGCACTTCACTGAAAGAAGTGTAAATATATGTTATCACACCAATAGTCTCATCACAGGTTCTGTGGAGGAACTACTCACAACTTGAACTACACGCTTACGTATCTACCGGTATACAATTTCTATGATAAATTAGGCAACAAGTTGTTCACTGGGTCCTGATTTTCTGTCAATTTTTCAAAAAAATCTTTGCTACCTACATCAACGATTTGGTTCGACTGCCTACTGATATACCTGGGAATGTTTTGAAAAGACAACAAAAGAACTGCGGTGATACTTATAGGTAATTATGATTATTTCCAGTGAAAGGCAGAAAAGTGTACGCAAACTCGTGCTCTGATTGGTCAAAGGATCATGCCAGTCAATCGCACGCGTTCATTTCGTTCGGTAGAACATTGTTCAGTAATTTAATCGGCGGACACAAAAATCGTGATAAACATTCAGTTCTAATGAGTTTCTCGGTCGGAAACATTGCATTCAGCAGATGTCAAACATTTTTTTCTGGCATTTTGAGTTTCATTAGGGGTACTAGAAATATAAATGATTTTTTCTTCATGAATGAAAACCACCGCAATAGGAGAGTTCAAAGTTACCGTGTCGTTGTAAAAGAAACATTGTCGCGGATTTACAATTCCGTAAAAACACCCACCAAAACGATACAGTTTTTGCATTGTTTACCAAAAGCAATTTAAAAATACTTTTAAGAAAATTTAATTTCTTCGAATTGTCTATATTGATGTACTCAAGTTTATAAATATTGTAGAAGTACAATCTACATTTTCTTAGACAAGACACTTTTGGGCATTATTGGGCTAGGCTTGCATCTTACAGAAATGTTTTATCTAGTAAGAATCCCACCCAATTAGTATTTACACCACACCGCATAAAGGTCCGTGCCTTGAACAGTAAAGGTTCTAATTAACGAGGGGTAACTATTTTATTTTAATACATGTATCTTGTAAAAGAAGGTGGATGCATCAGAAAAGAAAACTGCTAAATATGAACTAATAAAAAAGACGAAAACGTTAAAACACAACCCTTACGGATTTTGTTAAATATTAATTAGCATTGAAAGTATTCATATCTAAACTAAAATGCATACACTGATGATTGCACTGAGGCAAAATTGACTCTCCGCGTTTCCACGTACACATACTTTTAGCACAATTATACCATATACAATGAACCTCAAGTGAATGCGCCCTACTTTTATTCTACTGAAAGTATTCTAAATATCAGATAATGTCGAGATTTAAGTTCACAAGAACCCACTAATACAGATAAAAACTATAATTATTTTGAGATTTAAAGCAAGATTATTTTAATGAATTTATTTAGCACAAAAAAGCAAAACTTCTGAAGAAATAGAATATTTCAATCGTATCAAGCTAAATATGGCACAGAACTTGTAATAATTAGAAATGTGTACTGTATCATTACTTACCCCCCCGCCCCCCGCACCCCTTCCCAGATTTATTGTCACCATAGACATGTATTGCATGAACAGTAATTTATTTGTGGAATACTTAGATGTAAGAATGCAGGACACTTCCACGTTTATCTATTTCTATCTACTATCTACCGGTAATCCACGTTCACGTCAATCTATTTCCTAGATTGTAGAAAATATTTGACTGACTTATTTCCATTAATGTATGCCCAAACCTCATTTTTGAAAAAAAAAAAAAAAAGAGAAATCCTGGATAATCCCTCCTTTTTGTTTCCCTCATGATAAGTTGGATGACGCACAACATACATGTACATCATGTCAATATTATCCTGGTTTCAATTCAAAACCCTTAAATCTATGCTATAGGAAGACATTTTACATTGCCTTTTCTGTTTAATGCCTGGGGCAAAGGAAGGCAACATTTTAAAAAAAATTTAAAAAATTTAAAATAACTTAAATAATGAACTAGAGTACCATACGAGCTTAGGATTCCTTTACATCGGGATTGAACTAGAGGAAAACCCGTGCAAGCGCGGTAAAGTAAATTGATTCCAATACTGACAAAGAAATGCTGTATTTTTCCAAGTCTTTTGTATTGACAATATTAGGAAATTACTTTTGCAATAAAAAAAAGAAGAAAATTCCTTCAAAATACAAAATCCTATGAAGTGATTATTCTCTTAAAGATATACACGCTATATAAACGCGATTTTTTATGTGAAACAAAATGATTAAATGATTTGAGAAACATGATGTGTAATAAAAAATAATTACTTTCCACAATGTTTTACTAAATAAGTAGAAAATGCTTATCTGCTGTTAAGTGCATATAACTCGGGTTAGATTTTGACGATATTTCCATAATACCTTTGTTTTATACACAGAGAAAACATTGAATTTTTCCAACTTTACGTACATTATTGTGTTTTCCATACATCGAATAATTGGCTGCAACCTTGCAAAGTCACTGGATTGAAACCAATTCAGAAAGAAAAGAATGTATTCTGTGATCTTTTTCATTCATATGTTTCATAACTCAGAGTCATATTTAATGGGGAAAAAGAATCTCATCTGAACTAGTTGGATCCTCCAACTTTCACTGCAGCAGACAATTTCCATAAGGTATTCAATGTATAACGACCATGTGAGAGAATATCAGAAGTGCGATAAAACTCTTGATTTTCTTTCCCTTCAAGAAGAATGTTATAAAAATACTCCCTGGCCTGTTATAAAATAGAGAGAATAAATGAACCATCCAGACAGAGAGTAAAAGTGCCAACTTGAAGTTTCTCCAAGTATGTCCATGTATACAAAGTTTTTCAATCTTGCAATTGCTTAGCTATGGCGTCTCAACCGCTCAACTATGACGTCACAGCCCAATGTTACTGTGATACAAAAAGAAGAGGCATAGGAGAAATCAAAGTAAATGTAATAAACAGAAAATTAAAAGTTTTGTAGTTGAATGTGAGATTTATTTCATTCGTAAGACGGGATTTTTTGATAATTTTGATAATAAAAAAAAATCTTGTCCCACTGGTACGAGACATAAATTCCCACATTCAGCTACAAAATATTGAATATCCTCTGTTTGCGTTTGTAAAGATTATATAGGGACTATTTATAGACTATATAATAATATACAACTAATGCTGGTTTTTTAGGTCAATACGATGATTTAGACACCTGAGAAGTACAATATTCAACGTGCCAGAAGGGCGAGGTGAATATTGTACTACGAAGGTGGCTAAATCATCGCATATGAAGGTATATGACTGTCGAGGCGTACGGACGTGTTATTTTCGGTCCCAAGGCTTATGAGTTGTTTTTCTATGTTCCAGTATTCAGTGTGTTCTATTTCTTTGTTATATGGATGTATAGACCAAGATTTTCACCGTGATTTGTGATATTCATTAGACCTAAAGGATTAAAAATGCCAAAGTCTAAAACCAGATCGAAAAAAAGGAAGGCTGAACTCATTGGAGCGTTTCATAGTCCAACAAGCTAATTCAGAGAATTTGTGTCCCCCGCTTAGGGAAAAAAGAAGAGCATGCGCAGTTCGGGGGGGGGGGGGGTACACCCCCCCCCCCCCGGATTCGTAGAATTATTAAATGTATACATGAATATTGAAGCAAATAAAAAATGCCAATATGGATATAAAGATTTGATTGCTTATTCTTTAAAATGTGTATAGAAGATACTTTTTATGTAGAGTATTAATCACCCTGTAATAATGATTTTATGAGTTTGTACACACCGGAAGTCATAACTTTTTCATTTCACATGTTGAATACTATCATTTAGTTAACCCGGGTCTCTCGCTTGCTAAGCCAGCATCATACCCCTAGACCACCGAGGCACTTGATTGTATACCAGATTAAATGCAAACAGTAGGTCACATATAATGTTTATATTCAGGTTCGATATTGTCAAAATTTTAATCAATACATGGTGTCTAATTTAGCCTTTACTAAACAGTTCTAATAGATGTAATAAGAATATAATGTCCGCCGTCAACCTGTATTATACGTAATAACTCTCCGCATGCCCCTGTGCTAAGAATAGTACCATGCGACTTTTAATACATGTAAATAATAATTAAAAAACGGGGCGGGACACTTTGAGAGGGATGAGAGAGGCCCTAGAGAGTTATGAAATAAAATTTCATTGCAAAAGCTCAAAAGCTTCTTGGGATATCGCCCGGAAAAGAAAGTGTTACACACAGACGGAATGTATAAATTTACGACCTTGAACTCTGACCTTTTGACCTCAAAATCACTAGAGGTCTTCCTTAGGCGACAGGGAGTTGCTATGTAAAATTTCATTGCAAAAGCTCAAAGGATTCTCCAGATATCGCGTGGAGACGAAAGTGTTAAAACAGACAGAATTTATGAATTTGTTACCTTGACCTTTGACCTTTTGACCTCAAAATTAATAGGGTTCTTCTTTAGGCAATAGGGAGTTGCTGTGCAAAATTTCATTGCGGAGGCTCAAAGGGTTCTTGAGATATCGCGCGGAAACGAAAGCGTTACAGACAGACAGAAATACAGCTAGACGGACGGACGGACAGACAGACCCAAATTAAAATCCCCCACTTTCAGTGAAAGCGGGGGACAACAAATAATGACAATGATAGCAATGACGACAGTTCAGTGAGCGCTGAGAGAAGCAGAACACCAAATACGTCTTTTCCCAGCAATATTCTAAACACAGCAAACAATGTTCTGTATGGCACACCAAGGTCTAACTTTGACGACGAGCACGAGAATTCTATAAAATAGCTATAAACTTATTTGATTTTTTATACATATCATTAATTTTCTTGGTATTGATGCATTAAATATCTAACAAAATTTTAGTAACGTGCATTTGTGTTTATTTGAATGCCTCTATATTGTTTAAAAATGTCTGGGTATCAAGTTAAACAAATTTCCATAGATTGTTTCAGTATAATAAAACAGTTATGG